GAATACGGATGCCCTGCAGCCTGAGCGGAGCTATAGCTGCATCCATAGACTTTGTGAATGTACGGGGTGACAGTGCTAGGCCGAACGGAAGAACCCAATATTGGTATGCTTCGCCCCCGAAAGCAAACCTCAGGAACTTCCTGTGTTGAGGGAGGATAGATACATGGAAGTAAGCGTCCTTTAGATCTATCGTGAAAAACCAGTCCTCGGATCTGATTTGTGACACGATCTGTTTTAGAGTGAGCATCTTGAACTTGAACTTCCCTACAGTGCGATTTAAGAGATGCTGATATAAAATGGGACGCAGCCCTCCATCTTTTTTCGGAACGATTTTTTACCTCCTGTTCTAAAACCAGAACCTGCTCGGGGCCCACCACCATGGGCAGAACCCCTCTGAACTGAGGTAAACGCGTTTTGAACTGAATAGCGTACCCGTTTTTTTATAATATTCAGGACCCACTGAGAAACATTGGGAAGCATTTCCCATTCCGCCAGGCCTCTGGATGAACGTCCCGAGTGACAGACACAGCGCCCTGTAACATATCGGCAGGAAACAGCTGGTCTGAGCGCCTCGCCTCGTCCCTCCAGTTTCTCTGTGGGGGGGCACGAGACGCGACACTCTGCATCTGCTGCGTTCTCTTGTGAGACGAACTCGACGGCTGGGGCTGCGCTCTATCAACAGCCGCGGAGACACGCACTTTTAGCGGGATATATTTTTGAAAGGCAGCTGCCTGCTTTTTCTCCTCTGGAATTTCTCCGTGACTGAGTGTAACGCGTCACCGAAGAGTCCCGCAGGCGAAACTGGCGCATTTAAAAAGAGAGCCTTATCTTTCTCTTTCATAGATGTCTGGCTTAACCATAAGTGCCTCTCTGTAGCCACCAAAGCTGCCATAGACCGGCCGATTAATTTTGCAATGTCCTTAGTAGCGCGGAGGGCGAGATCTGCGGTCTGCCTAAGCTCGCTGACAGTATCCACAGAAATCCCCCCCCCCCTCGCACACATCTTTCAACATATCAGCCTGATAAGCCAGCATAATGGCCATAGTATGCAAGCACGCAGCCGCCTGCCCAGCCGCCGAGTAAGCTTTCCCCACCATCGCAGAAGTGTTTTTCAATGGTCTGGATGGAAGCGCCGGTGCTTTAAGTAAAGATGCCGAAGCCGGAGAGAGAGATAGCTCGCGAGCGTCTCCTCCACCTTCGACATCGTCACGTATCAGGCAGATTTTACACCAGCGACATTACCATATGCATTAGATTGATTTGTGTGAATTCTGCTGGAAACCGGTCTAACCAGGTCTTCGATACCTCAGTATGAAGATCTGGGAAGAACGGCAAGCACCGGCGAGAGGGTTGAGGTTGTGCAGACAGAAATCTATCGTCTAATTTGCTTTTGACTTTTGACTCCTGTCTATCAGCTGGCCATTTGATAGGCTACTGAGTTTTTCAACCGCACGAGACAAAACATCCATCAACCCTTCTTCCTTTACAGTACGGTGTGACAAACTGGTTTCTTCTGATGTAAAACTCTCGACATTCAGCTCCTCAGAACTGGATAGACTCAAGTCCACATCATCATCAACCTGTGCCTCCACCCGGGCAGAAGTAACCGCCGCAGCGCGTGCTTCCAGAGCCGGGTGAGATGCACTGGATCCCGCCGGAGAAAGCTGAGATAAAGCGGGGCCCATTTTAACGTCGCCGGTGAGATCCATCTGCGATCCCCCAGAACAAGCGTCTCCGTCCCTCCCTCTCCTCAAAGAGCGATCGCCGCGAGCGCAGAGTTCGCAGAGGAAAGCCCTCGCAATGCTCACAATCGACTCCCTCGAGAGCCGACTGGGCATGCTGCACTCCCAAACAAGCCACACACAACTCGTGTGAATCCCCACCCGTGATGTAATGAGTACAGGGGGGAACACACTTTCTAAACTGTTCTCTTTTCTCACTCATTTTTGGTTTATATATATATATATATATATATATAGTGAAAACTCCTGATATATCAGACAAACACAATGGACAGATTCAGACACACACAGAGCTTGCTGAAGTAACAGAGCTGGTTTCTGGTGTGCTCAGGGGATATTTATAGCTTCCTGGTCAATGACGTCACTCACCGTACGCACACTCTCTCCATTGACTGATTTCATTCATGCTTCAGACGCGCTACGCTGGGGGCGTTCCCACTGCGATTACACGCAGCGGTAGTCCCTGAAGGGGAACTATTCCAATCCCAATTAGAGGATTTTGTGAAGTTTAATGTAGGTTCCGTTGATGACCCCAGAATATTATGGCAAGCTGTAAAAGGTTTTATACAGAGTAATTCCACACTGTTCTGTTCCAATACTCGCAAAGCCAGATCTGACAAATTGCAAGCTCTTGAAGCAGACTTTGTTAGACTGGATTCCACTTTATAGAGCAATTACTCTTCACGGATAGCAGTGGAACAGGATCTTGTTAAGAAATAAATAAATTATATTCTGAAACAATGTTCAGAATTTTTAATCTATAGACACTGGCGATTCTAGGACCCCTGTGGCTACCCCAGATCTGATAGGTAGTTGGTCAAGGTCGTCAACACAAGAAACAATAGAAATGCTGTCAATCAATGGTGACAGCCCAGCCAGCAATGACATGTGGGGCCCAGATGGGTTAAGTCGGGGTTCTATGGTTACTGTGTGGGCATGGGCTTTGGCTGGGTGAAATCAGCGGGTCCCGTGTAGGTTTTGTAGTATGAGTCCCACATAGGAACCCCATATGAGCTAATTATATGGGCCCCATAAGGGACAGACATGGGCCAAGTGGGCATGGGTTTGAACTGAGAACACATATATGGGTCCTGCATATAATTTTTATGGGCTAAGTGGGCATGGGTTTGAACTGGGAACATATATATGGGTCCTGCATGGTACATTTATGGGCCAAGTGGGCATGGGTTTGAACTGGGAACACATATATGGGTCCTGCGTGGTACATTTATGGGCCAAGTGGGCATGGGTTTGAACTGGGAACACATATATGGGTCCTGCATATAATTTTTATGGGCTAAGTGGGCATGGGTTTGAACTGGGAACATATATATGGGTCCTGCATGGTACATTTATGGGCCAAGTGGGCATGGGTTTGAACTGGGAACACATATATGGGTCCTGCATATAATTTTTATGGGCCAAGTGGGCATGGGTTTGAACTGGGAACACATATATGGGTCCTGCATGGTACATTTCTGGGCCAAGTGGGCATGGGCTTGAACTGAGAACACATATATGGGTCCTGCATGGTTTATTTATGGGCCAAGTGGGCATGGGTTTGAACTGGGAACACATATATGGGTCCTGCGTGGTACATTTATGGGCCAAGTGGGCATGGGCTTGAACTGAGAACACATATATGGGTCCTGCGTGGTACATTTATGGGCCAAGTGGGCATGGGTTTGAACTGGGAACACATATATGGGTCCTGCATATAATTTTTATGGGCTAAGTGGGCATGGGTTTGAACTGGGAACATATATATGGGTCCTGCATGGTACATTTATGGGCCAAGTGGGCATGGGTTTGAACTGGGAACACATATATGGGTCCTGCATGGTACATTTATGGGCCAAGTGGGCATGGGTTTGAACTGGGAACACATATATGGGTCCTGCATATAATTTTTATGGGCCAAGTGGGCATGGGTTTGAACTGGGAACACATATATGGGTCCTGCATGGTACATTTATGGGCCAAGTGGGCATGGGTTTGAACTGGAAACACATATATGGGTCCTGCATATAATTTTTATGGGCCAAGTGGGCATGGGTTTGAACTGGGAACACATATATGGGTCCTGCATGGTACATTTATGGGCCAAGTGGGCATGGGTTTGAACTGGGAACACATATATGGGTCCTGCATGGTTTATTTATGGGCCAAGTGGGCATGGGTTTGAACTGGGAACATATATATGGGTCCTGCATATAATTTTTATGGGCCAAGTGGGAATGGGTTTGAACTGGGAACACATATATGGGTCCTGCATGGTACATTTATGGGCCAAGTGGGCATGGGTTTGAACTGGGAACACATATATGGGTCCTGCATGGTACATTTATGGGCCAAGTGGGCATGGGTTTGAACTGGGAACACATATATGGGTCTTGCGTGGTACATTTATGGGCCAAGTGGGCATGGGTTTGAACTGGGAACACATATATGGGTCCTGCATATAATTTTTATGGGCCAAGTGGGCATGGGTTTGAACTGGGAACACATATATGGGTCCTGCATATAATTTTTATGGGTTAAGTGCCCATGGGTTTTAACTGGGAACACATATATGGGTCCTGCATAGTACATTTATGGACCAAGTGGGCATGGTTTTGATCTGGGAACACATATGGGTCCTGCATGGTACATTCATGGGCCAAGAGGGCATGGTTTTGATCTGGGAACACATATATTGGTGTGGCAGAGGCGAAAAGTAACTATTTAGGTGTGTTGATAACTTACTGTACAAATTTTAGTAACTCTACATGTAGGCTAATCAAGCATGTTGAGAGTGAGTCACAGTAGTCATCAAAGAACAAACATATAGATCGTATATATAGTGTATATACTGTAGGCCTATATATATATATATATATAGAAAATTAGGGAAAAAACACATTTGTATCTTATCAATTCAATTATTAATGATTTGATCGATTGTTGTGGTTTTAACTTTTAAGGAAAACACATCCAGCCCTAATCTGGAGAGGTGACAGTGACATCAGTGTTTAAAAGTAACTTGTTCTAGCTGATTAGTTTTTTTTTATTTATTTATTTATTTTTTTTTTTTACAAATTGTAATTTTACTTGAGCGGTTCTCTAACACCAGTACTTTTACTTGTAATAGAGTAATAGCAATGCAGCAGTACTTGCACTTGAGTACAGATTTTCAGTATATTTCCCACCTGCCTGTTATGCACACAATACATAATTAGGCTGATTTATATGAAGCCAGCGAAGCAGTTAACGTTTGTTAATTCTCTAACATATTTAATTGTTAATTCTCTAACAATTTAACTGTATTTAATTGTTATTTAGTCAGGCAGTTCTTAGGACATCTATAAGGGGCCTGTAAGCAAAGGCCTTGATTCGCGCTCAAACGTTAACGGGCCATTCGGAAAGCAACGCTGCTAGCTGTCATTTCGAGGAGAAGAACTTCACATCAGACATTCACAAGGTAAGTTTAAATATTATGTTGCCAGAAAAATAACACTGCAGGTGTACAGTAGTCTGTAATTTTTTGTTTTGTGTTGTAACTGTTTAATCTGATGTAGAATCTAACCAAAAGGAAAAACAGCTGGAGAGGTTGGACAATAATTCATAAGTTATCACGATATACTTTTAATAACGGTGAAATGAGTTTTAAACACATTTCCGATATTTCGATGAGTAGCTGCGTTTCACAGACTGGCGTTCATTCATCCGAGCAGAAAGAGCTGCAACACATTTAATACGTTTAAATGCAGCCAATAACCCGTTCAAAACAGGAATATTATCAATAACCCGGTCGTGCACGGCCATGGCTACGTGTTTGATGACATACACCACAGACAGGAGCCCCGCAGCAGTTGTCTGTGCTCAGCGTGGACATGTATATTGAGAACAGGTTTTACTCCAGGGCTTGAGTCTGCTGCGCCATGAACGCCAGTCTGTGAAATCAAATGCTGTAATCATACTGTAATGTTTATGCTGAGCACAGCTAAATGGAGTCTCCTCCCTGACCTGCTCTTAGTTGTAGTAATAAAGATTTCTTTTTTTGGTGGTCCAGCGTTAGTGGCATGGGAGTACGTCCCCGGGTTGCATATGCATCCAGGACGTTTTTATGTTTTGAACAGTTGTGATTGTATGCATCCGTGCAATTGGATCCGCATGTCATTGTACACGATCCGATGTTTACGTGTTTAATAAACCACGATGCGGTCTGTGTCATCAAGCAACAAAAGAAAGAGATTAAAATTCACTGCTCGTTAATAGCTTTAATAAGGATTCATTAATTAATTCATACAAATACGTCTGCTGCTTGAAAGAATAAAGAGTGATGTATGCAAGTAGTTGTAAAGAACGCATGTATCATTCATTGTAAAGAAGGGGCTACATAAGGTCTAATTATGGGTTTGTAAATTTGAGAGAAATTCTAAATTAATGCATTATTGAACTAAACCCATTATATTTTAGTCATTTGAACTGTTATAGTTTTATTCTAGCTTTAGTCGATGACGTACAATAAGATTTTAGTCGCCTAAATCTAGATACTAATGCTAATACACTAATTAATACTAATTTCTCCTCCATGTTGTGGAAAGATGCAGATATTCGCAGGTGTGCCAATGTGCACAGGAGGTGTGTGGACCATTGAGGTGCGATCACTTGCAATCAAAGATCAAAATTAAATGAAAGGGTTTGTTTAAAGTGTGTGATTCATTTAATGGAAAGCTCATTCACTTCTAGTTGTCTTCATCCTCTATTCTGCAATGTTCCGGTCTCCCGTGGTGTGTGTGTGTGGCAAGCTGTACCGCGAGGAACGTGCAAAAAATAAAATAAATAAAGAAGTGTCGACGCAAAAAATATGGCGTTCAACATTATCATTGACGCGCCGCTACAGCAGTTATATATATATATATATTTTATATCACGTTTTAATGGTAGTGTTGTGTTTTTAATTTGCTGCAGTGTTACCAGTATTTCTTTCTCTTAGGATAGAGAGGACTCTTAGGAATCAGCAGCCCTCGTGTGTCCCAGAGGGGAAGCCACAGCCCTCAAATTTCCAGGTGGCGAAGCAGGTCTTAGAGGAGCAGGTCAAATGGATCCTGTTGGGGAAGCAGCGCCCATGGTTCCAAGTATTTATGTGAGTTTTTTTTTTTTTTTTCTCCCACGTTTAGAGGTATTGAAATGTTCTTTAACGTCAAAGTTTCTGCTTCCAAATTGAAAATTTGGTAACCAGGGTCAGCCCACCAAGACAGAGTCTGACCCCGAGAAATCCCTGTGGGTCCCCCAGAAGTGGCCTCAGCGTGAGTCTGACGGCATCCCCACCCAGTCTCCTGGCCACAGTTTTCCTGTGTTTTCTTTCTTTGACAAAATCCTTCCCATGCTTAATGAATCACTAAACTTTGCAGAATTCAAGTCCCATGCCAGGTTGCTTCAAAACTTTGTAAATGTATAACAAATCAACCATGTCTGCTACAACATTTTTCACCTAAATGCAGACAGCCCATTCTCACCCCCAAGGCGTCACTTAACTGACGCCTTGGGAAGCATTTGGACATGCTTCAATATCTGACGCTTTAGGTGCCCTTTAGCGTCAGTTAGATGACGCCCTAGGATCGCGTGTACCCTACCCCCACCCCACACCTAAACCTAACCGCGTCCTCTAACTGACGCTTTCCTTTAGCTTCAGTTAGATGACGCCCTAGGATCGCGTGTACCCTACCCCCACCCCACACCTAAACCTAATCGCGTCCTCTAACTGACGCTTTCCTTTAGCGTCAGTTAGATGACGCCGTAGGATCGCGTCATGTAAGTGACGCTAAAGGGCGCCTAAAACGTCAAATATTGAAGCATGGTCAAAGGTGACGCCTTGGGGTGAGAATGCGTTGATGCAGAGGTGGAAAGTAACTAATTAAAGAAACTAAAATTAACTAATACTTACTAATACTAGAAAGTAACTAGTACTTTCGTTACAGTACTTCACTAGATGTAAAAAAAAAAAAAATCTACTTTCTTGAGTATAATTAAAATTTGGTACTTTTACTCTTACGTGAGTAGAATAAAAATAAAGTATTCAACATCGCTACATTTGTTTTTCACCAAAAGTACAAAGTACTTTGGAAGCACTTTGACAAAAGTACCAAAGAAGCAACAGGGCATTTGACAGACACTTTTCAAAACGACTGTGGTGGAGCACTGCGCTTCAGCCAATAACAGACAGATCTGAAGCACTTCAGCCAATAACGGACAGGTCTGACTTGGGTGCAAAACCAATCAAAACTTTCAGTTCGGCTGGGGGGGCAGGGCGCTCAAACCGTGCTTTGACATTCAATCATTGTGCTTGTGTTTTGAATCAGTACCGCTAACGTGAATGTAAGTGAGTTTTGCGAATATTCAAATATAATTAGAATTATTAGCAACACCTTAAATATGTAATCCCATTGATAATACCAGAGCAGTTAAAGTAAATTAAAAAAAAAAAACTCGGCTCATAACATGGACGCAGTTATTTCACTGACGGAGAAAGAACAATGTAAGTGTCTAAAACGCATGTATGGCTCAATTAAATGGTAAAGCTTGCCCTCTTTAACAATACAATTAAAGTACAGTAAATGTATGAAGCAAATGTTGTACAAAGCTGAAAAACCTCAACAACAGTGAAATAAGGTTGCATGATTTATCTGTCAATCAGAGGCATGTAAAAGGGTAGTTCGTTACAATAGCAACAATGGCATCCCAGAACAAAAAAAAAAAAAAACATGTTGGTTTGAACTAGGGATGTCCCGATACCACTTTTTCACTTCCGATACCGATACCGATGCCGCACCTTTGGCTTTTGCCGATACCGATATTAGTCCGATATTTTTTTTTTTCGTGGTCCGACGTGCCGTATACGGCCCACAGGGTGGTTTATAGGTTTAACTTTGTGAAAGACAAAACAAAACAAACACAAAAGTAAACATAATACATATCTTTGGAAAGCTGAGAAACTCGTGATTCGAACGACGTAAACCATTTTAAGATACAATCAACACAGCAGGCACAATCTGTCTCTTTGTCAGACCACCAACAGCCAAAACAAACCAACACAAACTGGAAGAAACTCACCAATTAGCCATCTGTTAGTCCACATTCCAACAAAAATGGTTTGGTTTCACTGTAAAGCGTCCATACAATCCAATTTGAAGAAGTTTTTAGTCCAAAACAATTGTATATATGAATAAACATCCATGGAATGTAAATAGTAGCATTTCGCGTTAGCCGACAGCGCTATCACAACTTCGACGCACTAATGCTACGTTCACACCGGACGCGAATAGGGCGTCAGGCGCGAATGATTTCAATGTTAAGTCAATGCAAGAAAAATTCCTGCGGCGCGAATGAGGCGTGGAGCGCGGCGCGGAAGACGCGAATACGCCTCATTCGCGCGTCAAGTTGGCGCGAATGGCGCGAATTGAGCGTTGTGCATTCACGCGTTTGACGCGAATTCGCGTCTGCCGCCCGAGTTGAAAAATCTGAACTTTGGCGTGAATTCGCGCCGCGTTAACCAATCAGGAGCCTAGCTGCTTGCTCACGTGGTGAAGTGTCTGGATGCTTCAATAAATTATTTTGTTATGACTAAATGCATGGTGGGATTATGCACAACAAAGCAAATGTTTCATCACTTAAAACATTATTTCTATATGGAGACATGTTCATTTTGTATTGAATGTTATTCATTCCATATCTAGAAATAGTATTATGTTGTAAAGACAGACATCCCAAGTCTCCCGGAAGTTCCGGGAGTCTCCCGCATATTGATAGCGTCTCCCTGATGCCCGCAAATTAGTTCAAATCTCCCGGAATCTAGAGCGAGACATACTGCGCGCATAACATAGCGCGCTATATATATATATATATCAACATATGTGCATGCATACATTCGTGTCTGGACGTGAGAGAGAGAAAAAAATCACAGGACAGGTTAATAACTTTTGAAGGCTGGCTCTAGGCTATTTATTATCAAAACAAAAATAAATGACAGCTAGATTAGATGGATGAGGAGCCGGGCGAGGGTGATCCTCGCTCAGATGCGGGACAACAGGTCATCAAACTGGGCGCGTGACAGGCGGAAGTACCGCTGACAGCGGCCGTCATCCAGCGCAGCTCCTGGAGCGAGCAAATGGTGAAACTCGCCAAACGGTTCGGCTCCGAAGGGTCCGGTGGACACAAATATACGGCGACGATGATCCCCACGCCGCTGTTCTGCTATCCAGAGTAAATACAGAGCGGTAACTCTCTTGATGAATGCTCGGTCGACATAAAAACAATGACCGCCAACGGATTTTGATTCTGACGCGCGTCACGCGCGTAAATTTCGCTTCAAACTTTACGCCAGTTTCGCTCTCTCTTTGAGTGACAGTTTATCTATCCAGTTGCAATAGAGAATGAAATGACGCTATTTTCTGATAGCCAATGAATTTCTGAAAAGACTGAAATGCAGCTTTTGTGGAATCATCCGATTACATTAGAATCCGTGCGCAAAAGCGAGAGTGATTCTCTGCGCGCGTGTGCTTAAACACAACAATCATCACGTGACAGGCTGCGCCGCTAAACTGGATATCGCTCATATTTTTTTCTCCCCTCCGATCTCCGATCTAGCGTTCTGGGCCGGTATCGGCGCGATACCGATGCCGTGGATCGGATCGGGACATCCCTAGTTTGAACATCAGTTCACTGCTGCTTTGACTAATCTTAAATCAGCACTAATCTTACACATTCTACATTGATTAAAAAAGAAAATCAAATGTTTTTTAATCGTACTATTATTTTACACAGAAATCAATTATTTATAATTCAGATGAAAATAATGTTACATTGTTAAATAATAATATTAATTAAAATTAAGGAAAACAAAAATATTGATCTGAAATATTGCAAAATAATTTTAATTGAATTCAGGTACAATTACCAAACATATCACAAGGTTTTATTAGTTTAATTAATAAACTAATTATATAAAACTATTGTCAGTGCATTACAAATAAACTGGTTTTATGCCTTTATTAATAAAACTTATTTAAAAAATACAATGCCTTATGTCTTTTTGTTTTGTTTTTCCCTCCATTGTACAGAACCGTAATGTATGAACCACACCGTGACTTCTGTGTACCGTTACACCCCTAATACCAAGGGGTCGCCTTTGGAGAATTCATGAATTTTGATATATTCATGGAAAATTGTTTCTAATGTCACTCAAATCTGGTGTGCATTTGAGGCTACTGTATATTTCAACATGTAATGGAAAAAGTGTTATAGGTATATAAAACTCTATAAAACTCCATGTTAAATGTCACTCTAGAGCAAACATTTTAGCTTACCACATGTGTAAATGTGTTTTTCTTGACTGAATGATTTGAAGACATACAAGTTGGAGCAAAAAAGAACCTTGCTAAATTGACTTATGCTCTTTTGTTTTTAGGTGCACTGAAGAGTAATGCAATTACTCAAAAGTGTGAACCGCAAGCAAGTGGAAATGGCACTGGGGAAGTGGCGCATGGACCGTGGAGGGGAGAGGGCTGCAAGAGCCCAAAGATAAAAGGGAGCATCCACCACGCCCTGAGTGTATTTTGTATTTAAAGAGTAGTTCATTTTTGAAAAAAAAAACAAAAAAACTTTTGCTGATAATTTACTCACCCCCATGTCATCCAAGATGCATGTCATTCTTTCTTCAGTCGAAAAGAAATTAAGGTTTTTGATGGGGGAAAAAACAACCTTTAAGGTTTTTTAAAAAAAAATAAAAATAACAAAGTTGAAGTTTTATAAGCAGAAATGCTCGCCTTGCTCTGTTCTGTGATGCGCGTTCGTGACTCTCCTGTTCGAACTCGTTCATCAAAAAGGAACAAATCTTTTTCTAAGTTACATGTATTTCGTTTGTTGAATGAACCAAATTACTTGAAAATAGATTTGTTCATTTGCATTTTGATGAACGACTTCGAACAGGAGAGCCACGAACGCGCATCACAGAACAGACCAAGGTGAGCATTTGTGCTTATACTTGTGCTTTTTTTTTTTTTTTAATTTTAAATGAGCGTTCGTTTCACTAGATAAGACCCTTATTCATCGCCTGGTGTCGTTTAAAGCCCTTTGAAGCTGCACTGAAACTGTCTTTTGGACCTTGAACCGTTTGGTTCTCATTGAAGTTCATTATATGGAGAAAAAATCTAAATTCCTAAATCAAATAACATCAAAATCAAATATCATCAAAAAAACTAAATTTCTTTTCACCTGAAGAAAGAAAGACATGGACATCTTGGATGACATAGGGGCGAATAAATTATCAGCATTTTTTTTTTTCCAGTGAGCTACTGTTGTGACATTTAAATTGTTTTAGTTGTTCAATTAAACAATATATTTCTTGCAGTTCAAAGCGTCAAGTGTCTTGTATTTATCTTGGACTTATGTTCATTCTTCGATTTTAGTTTAGATTGTTTAGCTTAGATTGTTTCCTTAAAATATTTGGCATGGTTGGGCTTAGATAGGCTTTGCATGAAATGCCCAGTTAGGACCCACATTCAGGTGCATTCACAGTTGAATCCTGGTGCAAGCCCACTTTAAACCCCTTTAGGTAGGTGGGCCCCAAATGGGTCTGTCATGAATTGCCCGGTTAAGATCCCACATAACACCCTTATAGAACCCATTTAAAGCCCATCTGGGCATCCACGGCTGGATCCTGGGTGCAAACCCACTTTAAACCCCTTTGGGTAGGTGGGGCCCCAATGGGTCTGGCTTGAATTTCCCACTTAGGACCCACATAAGACTCTTACAGAGCCCATTTAAAGCCCATCTGGGTAACCATAGTTGGATCCCGGGTGCAAGCCCACTTAAGGCCCATTTGGCCAGGTGGGGCCCAAATGGGTCTGACATGAATTGCCCAATTAAGACCCACGCAGTACCCGTACTGGTCCCAATTTTAGTAAGTCTGGGCTTCCACAGCTTGCCCCAATGTGGATCCCGGGTGCAAGCCCATAATGGGGCCCACATTTGCCGCCCATCAAGCCCTTATATGGGCCCCACATGTCATTGCTGGCTGGGGGGTAGGTGGGGCCCCAATGGGTCTGGCTTGAAGTTCCCACTTAGGACCCACATAAGACTCTTACAGAGCCCATTTAAAGCCCATCTGGGTAACCATAGTTGGATCCCGGGTGCAAGCCCACTTAAGGCCCATTTGGCCAGGTGGGGCCCAAATGGGTCTGACATGAATTGCCCAATTAAGACCCACACAGTACCCGTACTGGTCCCAATTTTAGTACATCTGGGCTTCCACAGCTTGCCCCAATGTGGATCCCGGGTGCAAGCCCATAATGGGGCCCACATTTGCCGCCCATCAAGCCCTCATATGGGCCCCACATGTCATTGCTGGCTGGGAGCTGATCAACCGATTTAGGTCCAGTTTTACATTTTTAAATAACACAGTAATGGTCGTACTGAGGCTGTGAGAGCTGATTTCTGCTCAGCGGACGTTTGGCCATGCAGGTCAGGTTACTAATGAGATGCGCGTGCTAGCTGCTGCTGCTCCGTGAAACAGGTGTCTTACAACAGCAACAAATACAACGATAAAAACACAGGAATCTGTAGATTGAGAGGTATGGTAATTTAATGTTTAGTTATATCGATTCGTAGTTCCCTGTGAATGTGTAGGAAAACTGAAAAAGTCGAACTACACTGTACTAACGTTAGCTAGATTAGCATCCTGAAAGAGTGCAGACGGCTAAAGAGGACGCGCGCAGCTCTTAAAGGGGCCACACCTTATTTCCACTCATTACACCGCCATAAAATATAAAACGCTATTTTCTGGACTGAAAACTGATGGTGGTTTTTGCAGATGTGTGTGTTCAATATGACTAATGTTATATTTTTCGCCAACCAGTGTGTGAAATATAGTGTGACAGTCTAGATTTAAGTTAAAACACAAAAACAAGCTGCATGTGACTTATTTATTTGCTCTGTGGTTTAAGGGGTGTTTAAAAAGGTCTTTTTGTTTGTATCAATTAGCTCATCTTCACAGTCCATATATATTTTTAGAAGTTTAAATAGGCAGAGTAACTTGCATTAAAATGGCACAAATGTCATAAGTTAAATTATGAAGAAGCATCTTGACTATTTATGATTTTGAGTCTTAACTGTTTGATTTTAAAAACGTATTAATGTATGCTGAATCAAATCCAACGTTTCAATTTATATTTTCATCAAGGCCTTGGACATGAATACTGTCTGGGTTGAAAAACACTTTTTGCACATTTTCATACAACACAAGGCATCTGAATGACATTATTCAGTCATCAGGCCATTCTCTGTGTTACCTGTGTTTGCTACTTATTTAAGTCCCCTCTTGTGGTTAAATAAAAACACTCCTGGCAAAAAACAAACTAAGAAATTCAAATTCCAGTATCTCTAACAAATTATATCTAAGCTAAATAATAACATAAACTAAGCATGGAAAGAACAACAAATATTTTGGGGGTTTTTTCCTCACAAACTTTGGAAAGTTTTCCTTCACAAAGTTTTTTCTTTTGCTTTTACAGATACCCTTTTTAATAAGGTCCTATCTTTAAGGATTTTGGTTTGTCCTGTTGGATTTCTGTGTTTTCATGTAACCACAAGATGGTGCCTCATTTAGTAAAGCAAACTCAGGTAACAATACAGGTGACACAGATGATGAGCTGACGACTGATACATGTTATTCTATAGGATGAGTTCAGAGCAGTTTAATTTTGCTAATCTAATCTAACTTGTGCAGTGACAAGGACTTAAATCCACTACAAGAAAATAGCTCTTAGAAAATATTTACCCTATCCTGACCATAATTACTGATTAAAAATAGACATGTTAAAATAACCAGAGATACTTGAGGACTGTCTGTGATTGGTGGACTGTTTTTAACAGGATAGACACCTTTATTTGACAGTTATGAGACAGGAAATCATGGGAGAGAGAGAGAGGATGTAACATGCAGCAAAGGACCGGGATTTGAACCATGGTCGGCTGTGTACGTATACGCATTTAACGTTTCTATGCTATAGCCACCCCACTCTAGCTTTGTGTCCGATCTTGGCCACCCCCCAAAAAATGTCCTGGATACGCCACTGTCTGTAGAACTAGACAGAGTTGTATTTCCACGGGTCCAGACCTAGATCAAATGAACATTTTGCCGATATTTCCTCCATCAAATCCTTTGCAGGCATTATCACAACTGAACCCAAACAAATTAACGAGATGTTTCATGTCTTCTATTCCAATTTGTACAAGTCTCAACCTGTAATGATTTTCTTAAAAAGTTACATTTACCACAGCTGGAAATAGCTGCCAACTCTCACGCATTGGCCGTGAGACTCCCGCATTTGATTGGTTTCACACGCTCACACTCATATTTACCGCGCTCGTGCAGACGCGTCGAGTATACTCCGTGTCAGCGCGCACTCTGATCGGTAAAGATGCAGAGACCTCTTCCAATCATCTCCAGCAGAAGCAGCCTATTTAAACATTATTTATGGTATTTTTTAAATGACACACTGTCTCTCTCGCTCTCTCTCTCTCACACACACACACACGCACACACACACACACACTCTCACACATATGTAGGATAGTTATAAAGTCTTTCGACTTTTAATGGTTAGTGCTTTATTTTTAATGTTTGTGAGTAAGAATCGTAAAAAAAAAAAAACGTATTTTGGGGTGTACCCTAACCCCCGTCAACAAATCTCACTCCAAGCAAAACTCAAAAGTTGGCAGGTATGTGGAAACACTTGATAGCCACTTGATGCCAATTGATGTGGCTACTTGATAGCCACATTTCCTTGAAAGAATTGAAAGAGGCTGCCCTTGCTATGCAAATGAATAAATCAACTGGTTTGGATGGGATACTGCCTGAGTTTTCATGTTGTATTCTAGAATAATGCTTTTAGATATGATAACAACTTCAATTGAAAAAGGCAGCTTTTCTAGAGATGTCAATACTGCCCTAATATCTCTACTTTTAAAGAAAGATAAGGATCCTTCAGAATGTGCAAACTATAGGCCATTAAGTCTGCTAAATTCCGATTTAAAGATTTATGCAAAGGTACTTGCCTGGCGCATTCAGGATCACATACCCTTGCCATTTAATTGTGATCAGACAGGTTTAATTTAATCTAGGCTGTCATTGGATAATGTTAGGCGTCTTCTACATATAATCGATGCAGCAGTGGGTGCTAAGGTTCCTTTAGCAGTGTTATCCCTTGATGCGATGAAGGCCTTTGATAGGATGGTGGTCATTCTTGTGGTCTGTTATGGAAAATATGGGTTTTGGTAAGAGTTTTATACATATGATTAAGGTCCTTCACTCTAATCCCACAGCAATGGTACTCACAGGACAGTTACTTTCCTCACCAATTATCACTATGTCTTCACGACAAGGGTGTCCTTTATGTCCAGCTTTTTTTGCTCTTTCCCTTGAACCTCTTGCCCAGCTGATTCGGCAATCTGCTGAGATAAATCCTATTTCCATTCACAATACTGTGTACATACAATAATGCTACATATCATGTAGCATTATATGCAGATGATGTTCTGGTTTTAATGGAAAATCCAGTACAGTCTGTTTCTAGCTTGCTGTCTATTTGTGAAGAGTTTGGTCATTTATCTGGTTT